CCCGAATTAGGCCATGCAATATGTTTTTTATAACACATTACACGTTCATACTAGGAACGTGCATAGATCGTCTACCGTCTTCTTCTTGACGTCTGCTAGCAGTGTCCCGAAATCTTTACAAAACGATGTAAAGACGCTTCTAGAAAACCTGATTGCGTCCTTCGTCTTTGGTGCATCTTTATTTTCTTACTAGTGTGTCAAGTTCTGCTTCTGAAGTGAAGCTAAATCGTCCAAAATGTATATTTATATTCACTGGATTTTATTTTCACTAAATAATTCTTCAGCGAAAATAGCGTAAATTAATTCCAAGCGAAAATAAAGTATTTTACGTAACCAATTAATAAATAATGCTAAATACTTTCTTATAAGTGAAGTTATAAAAAAAGTTATAAAAAAAAGTAATTCAGTTCAAAAAAGGACAAACAAAGGTCATAGCAAATTCAAGTTGAATATAAAATCATTTGATTTTAGAATCAGATGTTTATTCGTCCATTTTTCGCATTACACAAGATCTCACGGTGAGTGGAAAATACACTACTCCTGTAAAATCTGAACTAAAGCAGTGGTTTCTATTAAAATCGTACAATGCAACAGAGGGGATGTGGTTTCTATTTGAGCATCTACACAAATGAGAAATTGTGATATTTTTGGTTCTTAATAGTTCAAAAAGAATGGGTGCGACTTCTATTAAGGATGTGACTTCTAATACCGATTTAACGGTAGTATTAGTAATCAACATAATCCTCTTTTGTTTTGTACATACTTGGAAATTGTATTTTTCTTATCCCTGAAAAAATGAAAGTTTTATGATGATTTATTGCCTAAAAGAATTGTTTAAATGTTAAATTCTTATATAATAGACTGATCTTTAGTTTTATTTGAATGAATGCTGCATAACAACATTTGGGTATTAATGTAAGTTATTTTTTTGTTCAACCTATTGTGATCCTCCATTTGAAAAGCGCCCTCAGTGAGGAAACTCATTTAACTACTTTGTTTTTACCAAAATTATTCCTATTGGTCTTAGCTGAAAGTTGTGTTATCCACTGAGTAATGAAATGATAAAGCTATTTACAACATTTGCGAGTTATGCTTATTTATTTTGATGCAACATTTTGCATATTTATTTATTTTTTTAATAATTTTGAACCAAATAAGCATATTTTTACATTGTCTGCATAAATTGATCAATAGTTATGGTAATATTGGTCAGTGTATTATATATTTATTTGATTTTGAACTCGAATTTCTTTATTTCGTAGCTCACAATGACCGGCCGATCTTCGACAGAGAAATATTGCTTCCGAATACCCTCACTTAATCGAAATTGCCTAACATCAAATGTGGACAGCACATTATTAAGCATGGAAATGTCCCCTTTCGCGTTGAATCCTACGCGATGTTTGACGCCACTACGACGCTATGACCTTTGTTTGTCCTGTTTTTACGTTCAATTTCACGCATAACGCGTGATTCTCGCAGTGTACGGAAAATGGTCTATTTCAAGCGAAAATAAAATATTTTACAGAACATTGAATTCCTGACTGTTAAATTGGCATATGCAATCCACATATTAATTTATGTTTTTTTGAATGAACAATAATTTGATGATTTTATCACCTTTGCTGTAATTGTTGGTATAATGACCTAAGTGTACCCATCATTCTGAGACTTAATTCGTGTATATTTTGGCCAACCAGTATCGGGATATCCAATGACAAATATTGCACATACTGATCAACATGAGTGACACCGTTGCCCATATAAAGTTTTATTTACTTGTATATTTAATAACAGCAAGTGAACACAGTTGTTATTATGTCTACAAGTGCAAAACATAAACAATAATAATAATCTTAATCACTTAACATCCATTGGAATGGATAAAAATAGATACATGACAATAAACGAAAATAAAAAAAAAATACAATACAAACATTAATAAACAAACAAAGGTCATAGCAAATTCAAGTTGAAAATAAAATCATTTGATGTTAGAAGAAGTCAAAATACAATACAAACATTGATAAAAATAAAATAAAAATAACTAAGAACTATAAAAGAGAAAAAAAAATTTAAGGAAAATATTTTGATGAATTAAACTATTACATTATTAATAGTGACCCAATTATGTAATAGAGTTATGATGGTGTTGCTGCCAAAATTCAAATGAAAAATTTAGGTATTGAGCAGAAATAATAAGGAATACAACTTTTCTTTCAGGTTCAAATTCTTGAAAGTGTTTTCATGCTGTTCATCTTTTGTGAATAGTTGATTTCTCAGGTGGCTATAAATGGTACATGACATAACAAATTGTTGCTCATCTTTGATTTCATTGATGGTACAGTAATTACATATTCTTTGTTCTGAAGGCACTCCATTGTGATGTTCATTTTCAAACAAGTGCAATAGCTTATATATATGGTATCCAGATTGCACACACAGTGTTTTACTTGGGTATCTGACAGCATGAGAGCTGCTAACTTTCTTTGTATTACAGGCTGCAGTAGAACACACATTTTTCATAATTTGTTTGTACTACTTTAGATCCTGTAAATGAGGAGTAAATTTAACCAGGATGTCATATCTTCATTGCAAACTGTCATGTGATTCTGTCTGTCTGTCTGTCTGTCTGTCAGTCTGTCAGTCTGTCATGTGATCCAGTCATGTGATCGTGTCATGTGGTAGAGGTTGCATTATTGTTTTAAAATGAAAGACAACAGTGCTACAAAAAAAAAACAAGCACTTATTTGAGAATATTGCAAGTCCCATCTGGGATCTGTAAACAACCACTGATTTGTTTTGCACCAGTTGCCTTTGTTTATTTGATCTAAGTTCCAATCCCATGTCTAAGTGCATGTTTTTACTAGCCTCCCACCAGGCCCATAATTGACACCACTGCCACACCCTTCTTCCATGTACTAGTCTAAGTCAGCTCTGTTTTTTTCATCCTTCAACAAAAGTTTTCTTCTTTCCTTTTGATCTTTTGTTGATAATGACAACATTAAATATTCATTAAACACATCATTGAGCTAATAAGACTACCCCACCCCCATGTTTTAATGGTTTATCCCAAGATATCACTTAATTAGATAGTGGTGGCCATGAGCTGATCTTAAGTTTCTAAGCCTCCTTAGCTGCTTGGAAATAAACAACTGATAAATTAAGTATAAGTTCTGTTAGGATGAAAATTTGTTTTACGCTAAGTTTTAGTCGTGATTTGGAAAAATGTTTTGCTGAAAAGTGACAAAATTTGACTATGAACTACATTGTAAACATAAATATCCAAACAACTATAAAAAATATAAGCATAATAATAAACAAAAAGATACAGAATCTATTTGTTAGATCAATAACGTTATATTTATAAAAATATTGAATAGAAGGAGGAGAGGGTTATTAAGATAATTTTTAATGTAATATAGTTATTATTGCTCAATAAACCTCAAAACATAAGACTTTTGAATGTTTCCTTAAATTGAGTTAGATTGAGGCCATTTTGATAGCCATTTCAACTGTACTGCGCAATATAACAATTTTGATTAAGTTAAGTGGTCTAGCATAGTGTTGATGCCATCCACATGTCTAAATATATCACATACTTGCAGTTCTGCTAACCAAAGTGTGACCTTATAGATGCTTGCCCTGCCTGTTCTCTGAGCTTTTACTCCCAAACAAGTGTGGGTAAAATCACTTTGGAATTCCTTTTCACACCACTAACAACTGTTCAGTTTATCAGTTGATGTCAGAGTTTCCATGGATACATTGAGGTGAGTTATTTTCTTGGTTTCTTTCTGTGATTTGATTTCTCTCTGGGATGGAGATCTCTTCTTGCTGAATGGTTGCGATGCTCCGAACATCCATGATGTCTAAGTTTAAGATATATTCTCCTGGTACTACTTCGTGAGTATATTTACAATCTGAACTGGAGAGAAAAAGTAACAGACACATGATGAAATTATTCATACGCATGATGAAAGCATACCGAGTTCTTCGTGATCGAGTGTTGTTGATTTTTAAATCTACTTGTGTGACTTTGGTTTTAGTCTGAGTATGGTCAAATGTTTGCATACAAGTATGGACTCCCATTACAAATATGATACCATGGGACATAGCAGGATACATCACCCAACATTGTAAACATCCTCCAGTGGGTCCCTCCCTCTAAAATCATCCATTCATTGCTAAGCTTGCTTATACCAATGATGTGCTCTAATCAGTTTATTTTCAATCTCTCTGCATGAATTTTTTACTTGTCACTTGACATATATATCAGAAAGTAGTTGCATGTGGTGATGTCATTGTCAGTTGGATACTGGATTTAGTATCTATACATATAAGACCACATGGAAGCACTGATACATAACAATGATACATAACAGATTTGTTGACCTTGATTTAATTAATCTGTTAACTGTAATTTACTTCTTAGTTCTTTTTTTCCACACCTTCTCGATAAATTATTTACTCAAAACAAATCAATTCTGTTTCTTTGATCCAAATAAAATCATGAATTCTATTGGAAATAATTCCATAAACATTTCTGTTGTCAGTTATCCTCCGGTAAATATGATGACTTGTGTCCCGTTTTTAGCTCCGCTGTCGACTTTGTTGAGCGGAGCTTAT